ATGCATGAGTGTGGGTGTGTGATTACATAGTTTAATCAAACACCACACTTAGTGGATGATGGGTGGGCTCGAAAAAGTTGGATTGAATATCCGATTGAGTCACACGTTGCATGAAAAACTTGTGGCGGGTATAGCAAGAAGGGCTAGACACGCCCTCGGGTGCAAGATCCGACTACTTGGTTCATACACTCCCTTGAGGTGCAATTCCGAAAAAGTGTAACGGTATGCGGAATCGGCGGTGAGACTCCGAGAATCTGAATACCCAAAAAAAGACACATGAACTTGTTTATACAATAGTCATTCGGTGTGAAACATCAATGACAGGGGCTTGAAATGCTCTGGATTTTTCATACATGTAGCATTGCATGGTGTGAAGGGAGCCGGGAAGGCTCGGGGTATATTTCATGAGTGAGGATCATCTCATTTCATGGCATGACATAGTATAATTCCAATATGGAATTGCATATACTAAATTGGAAGAGATGATGTTTGTTGATTGTACATGTGCATATTGCATATGCATCTAGATTGGGGGAGTAGCCTCTGTAAGGGATACTTTATTGAACGTGACTCACCTATATAGGAAAATATTTCAGGTGCGGGATATACACCGGCAGGTGACGCTCATTCGGGGCCTCGAGGATGAACGGAGGCTAACTTGTGGCCTTTACTCCATATTTTGTAAAATATTGTGAAAATTTTTGTTTTGATTATGTAATCGTGTGAAATTGTTGTAATAGAACTCGTATATATTAGGTTTTATGTGAAAAACCTTATTAAGCATGTTTTGGATGGTGGTGGAAGGGATTGAAATGAGTTTGAAATTCAAAACAGGTGAAACAGACAAAGGTCGACAAAGCATACCAGTATATATGGCATATCGGTATGACAAGGTCCAGTAGGCAAACCCTACTGGTAGAAATTTTCCAGTAGACTAATCCTACCAATAGGAGCTTTTCCAATCAGCTCACCCTATTGGTATGCCCTATCGGTAGGCATTCTAATAATCTGAAATTTTAAAAACTGTTTTGTCATTCTTCTGGGCTACGTGTCCTTCCTTCTAAATGATGTAAATGGACAATAATGGAGTATGAAATGTGGTACATTGGACCATGGTTGGATCAAATGATAAAATGTACATAATTTACGCGTGTGGGTTATAATCTCGGTTAAGGGGATGTTATAGACGTGACGTCGAGTTGTGTGACAATCACAAGTATTTTCGCGCATTGACGGGTAGTCAACGGTTAAAAAAGGACCCCTAATTTTAGGGCGTCACACTACTAGCGAGGGTAGCATTGTGAGACTAGTGTTGATCAGCCCCCATAGCACTCCGCTGAAGTACGCCATCTCACTCTACTTTGCTACATCAAACAACCAAGCTGAATGTGAGGCTTTCACATCAGACTTGAAGCTTGCGTTGGAGATGGAGACCCTGTGCCTGACATCCTACAGTGACTCCCAGCTGATAATCAACCAGGTAAATGGAGACTTTGAAGCAAAGAAGGAAAGAATGTAAAAGTACCTCTCATTGGCCCAAGCTTTGTTAAAAAGGTTTACCTACTTTCAAATCCACCATGTGCCCCGACAGGAGAATACCATGGTAGACGCACTAGCAAAATTCGCGACTGCCAACATACTTATGGGCTTGGCATTGACAAGCTACAAGTTCAAGCCAAGCACCTTCAAGACAGAGGAGGACAAAGTTAATTATACATCCTCAGAAGCCAACTGGATGACACCCATCCGAGACTACCTAGAGGAGAGAGCTCTCCCAGACAACACAATGGAAGCCAAAAAGTTGAGGATGAGAGCATCCAAGTATGTCATCTTACACAACACACTCCACAAAAAAAGTTACTTATTGTCACTTCTCTGATGTCTTACCCCTGAAGAAGCCAATTACGTCATGAGGGAAATCCACGAGGGGATATGTGGAAATCACTCGAGAGGGCGTGCACTAGCCCACAAACCAGTGAGGCAAGGTTACTATTGGCCTAGCCTAATCAGAAACGCCCTGAGAGTTCATCAAGAAGTGAGATAAATGCCAATGCTTCACTACCATACCCAGACAATCACCTGAAGAGCTCATTACCATTCAAAACCCATGACCTTTCTCCATATAGGGGATTGACATCCTAGGTCCCCTTCCCGTGAGTCGGGGCCAGTGCAAGTTCGTAGTAATAGTCATTGACTACTTTATTAAGTGGGCAGAAGCAAAGGCCTTAGCTACAATAACAAACTAGACGGTGAAAGACTTAATGTAGAGGAGTATAGTTTGTCGCATTGGAATTCCTCACACCCTTGTGAGTGACAATGCCAAGCAATTTGACAATAAACTCCTTAACAGCTTTTGTGTCGACCTACAGATAGAGCAGCCCCACTCCAGCCCCGCCTATCCACAGGCAAACGGGAAAACAAAGGTCACCGTCAAGACCATTCTCCGTAATTTGAAAATCAAATTTGAAAATGCGAAAAGATGATGGGTAGACAAACTTTCGAGAGTGTTGTGGGCTTACTGGATGACACCACGAAGCCCAACCGGCGAGACCCTTTTTTCCCTAGCCTACGGGACATAGGCGGTCATACCCGTTGAGATTGAGGTACACTCCCTTAGGGTCCATCTCCATGACTTTACCAGTAATGAAGAAGGCCTCCGTATCAACCTCGACTTGATAGATTAGGAGAAGGAGATAGTCATGCTCAGGAATTTAGAGTACAAACGTCGCATAACTAAGTACAACAACTCAAGGGTGAAAAGCCTTGCTCCTTCTTGCCCAGGGATCTAGTCCTAAAAATGGTCATCTTGTCTACCAAAGACTTCCGGGAAAGAAAACTAGGACCTAATTGGGAAGGACCCTACACGGTCACAGAACTTGTAAGACTGGACATCTACAGAATTTAGAATTTCAAGGGCAAAGTTCTGGCCTATCCATAGAATGCAGAGCACCTAAAAAAATATTATCAGTAGCTGGGGGGCAAGGCAGTGAATGTATAAGTTAGTAGTCACCATTTAGATTATCTATTTTTGTTTTGGTTAATTTTCCTCAATATTTACTTTGGATTATGAAATAAAATTCCGCAAGATTTTTTCAAAAAATCATATCTCATAGAAGTTCAAAAAGCATTTACAAAAGATAGAATCTGACCTAGCAAAAAAAAACATAAATACAAAGACACCATGCTCCTGATGTCACTCACTGCCTCCTGATCCATTCCTATCATCGCTTGCCTCCTCATCATCAGTCCCTAGAGCCTTATAGGGGACAAAGCCAAAAAAATCATAAGCGAGAAAAACTGCTAAGATCTTCATCTTAAGCTCCTTATAGCCATCAATAAAGGCGTCTACCACTGCCCTCTCCGCAACATCCCTCTTCTTCTCCATCTCCATGGAGTAAGCCTCTGCCCTAGTAGCTCTCTCAAGAGCTGCTCGAAGGTCAGCCTCTGCTACAATGGCCTTTTTACGGGATGCTCGCTAGACGCCTGAAGCTCGGTCTCAAGTATGACAGCTCTCTCGTATGCTAGCCTCGACTACTTGTCAGCAGCCTCTCGCGCCTGCCTTTCGAGCCCTAGCTGCTCCTCAGCAGCCCTTCGTACCTGGCTCTCCACTGCCTGACCATCGAGTGCCTCTCTAAGCTTTCAACGTGCTCAAAAATAGGCAAGGAAGGCAGCAGCCACCTACAGGTATCCAAAAGCTCGAACATGAAAGAAAGAAGTCATGTACGAGATCAGAGATGAGTAAAGGGCATACCAAAGCAAAGCTCTCCATTGTTGTGTTGATAACAACACCCCTTGGACCTCGAGAACCAACCTTCTGAATCTCCGCCCCATAGTTGCTCCTTGGCTAGATTCATGTCCTATAGCATGGACATTAAATCATTGTTAGACGACCAGATAGAGCCCTGGTCCTCGTAGGAGACTGCACTGAAGTCTCAATCCCAATGGCCGTACTGGGATGAACTCTAGAAGGCGATGGTACCACAGCAGGGGAAGGAATGGGGGCATCATTGAGTCTTACCTCCCAGGGACTATCTTGGCTGGCAGACCTTAGCTGAGAAATAGCGAGGGCATCAGACCTCGCTATCTTAGAAGAAGGAGCGAAAAACGCCACCCTAGAAGTGTAGATAACCTCTACCATCACCCTATCAATAGAAGTACCTTCAAACTTAGTGTGAGACAAAAACTTACAATATTGTAACCATCAAGAGTCTATTGGAAGGATCAGGTACCTTTCCTCTTCGGCCGATGAGAAACCTTGGAATAACCTAACGCGGACATAATCTCCAAAAAATCCTTGAAATGATGGTCACGAACTATCTAGAGCCTACTCTCCTGCTCCGTAGATAATGTGGGTGAAACCACATAGAAACCAATCAGACAGTGAGAATAGATATGTAATGACTACAAGTAAGGACAAAAATGGAATCCTTACCTAGATTGGTCCTCAAGACGGTGTCCTACCTCGAAGGTACTAGATTGCGACCTCCCTTGGTGGCCATTCGCCTCTAATAAATAAAAACTTAGACTTCTAGCTATGAAAGTTCGAAGGAAGCCTAGTGATGAACTTGCTGGACATCAGGGTGAAACGACACCAACCTTAATGAGGAAAGGGGTTATCCAAAATCATATACGTGACCAAGAACTCTTCGAATGGGAGAGGGACGTCAGCACTATGAACCAACAACCATAATGAGAAGAATGCCAATATCACCCTCCACCCATTGGGAGCCAACCTCCCGAGAGCAAGCGACAGGTGCTCTAGAATCTGATAGATAGGACCGGGTTTCAGAAACCTCTAACCTACCTCCCGGGAATCCTCATAAAGAACAATCTCACCCCAAGTGTCACAACATGTTGGCTCGTCCTCCTCCACCCCGATGACATAGGACAACAGGAGGGATGCAGTACGAAGACACAATACGGTCGATATCATCATCATAGTCAATGAAACTAAATATGAAAGTCACCTTTGAGTCATTATCTCTAGCAATCCCTTTTCCTCACTCGATCTCTCGAGTAGCCTCTCCCATAATGCGCTTGTCAGAGTGGATGTCTGGCAACAAACAAAACCAAGACATAATCAAAGTCAATGTCAAAGGAATACTAATGTCTGTTGGACTCTTATGGAGTCTGGTTGTGTTTGAATTCAGCTATGTCCATGTTGCGCTTCGATTGAATTTAGGAGACCGACTTGCCCAGTCAAGTCGCGAGATTCCACCTACCCGGTTAGGTGGCAGGGGCTCGGGGGCAGCGCCCCCAAAACCTAAACGATTTTCTAAATCGCATACTAGGGGTATGTCATGAAAACTGTAAAGAAAAGTTTAGAATGTATGCCACAAAGTTCAAAAGAACACCTGTTATCTCCTCAGTTTCGGCATCGTCAAGCATGCCCAGGGCGTCGCCTCTCCTTGTCCTCATGCGCCTCCCAAGGTCACTAGGTCCAACGTGAACATCAGCGTCGCCACTGCCTCCTGTGTAGCCCAATGACCAGTCATCACTACCACTAGGGGTGTTCACCCTACCCTATGGGTAGGAAATATTGTCTTCCGTCTTCCTACCCGATACTTTGCGAAATTTTTTTTTTCTTAGTTTACCCTACCCGATCAGGTGTAGTATTCCTACCCGAATAATCGGGTAGGAAGTCGGGTAGGAAATCGGGTAAACACTGTTGTAGTTATTAATTTTTTGATCATTTTAACAATTCAATTAAATAATATGTACCAATTTAACAACACAATAAATCAATAACACTAAAATCTAAAACAACTACAACAACAATTACAATAAAACATAAGAAAGTATGAATATCAATCTATCGTAATTGTTACACAAATACAAACAATTATTTTAAGTTTAAACCATATGAAACACATTAAAATCATAACTGCTTCAATAGTTACTAGTTCATCACAAATCAGATAATCTACACAAAAAATAAGTCCATATTTTCGCAACTCAAATATCCACAACAATAACAATGTTATAATATAAATTATATCACACAAATACTCTTATAATTACTAAAAAAATATTAAAAAGTTAAATATATTTTTTGCGGGTAGGGTAGGGTAGGAATGCGAAAATTGATAGGTATTCCGCATTTCTACCCGATTTAATTGGAAGACTAAAAACTCTTCCGCATTCCTATCCGAATTTTGAGGCTAGCCATTCATTAGGGTAAGGTAGGGTAGGGTCGGGTAGGGTAGAAAATTGCAGCCAATTAAAAATTTGAACACCCCTAACTGCCACAACCTTCTGTGTTGCCCGATGCCCAATAGGCACCACCTTCGCCTCCAACGTAGCCCAATGCCCAACTGGCATTGCCTCCTAGGTGACTACTTGGCGTTGCCTAGGCCTCGCTTGGTGTCGCCCCTAGAGGCTTCGTCATAGCGACGCCTATGGCTTCGCTTGGAGTCACCTAGGCCTCGCTTTGCCTCGTTTTGCATCGGCTGAGCTTTGCCTAGTGAAGTCCCTTGCCTCAATGAGGCCTTGCCGCAAGCCTTACCTAATCCCCGTAAGCCAGCGCCGATGGCATTTGAAGCCATGCCAAGACCAACGACTCCATCGACACTCCTAGCCCTTAAGGCGTCGCCCATGGCACCTTCAATGTTCTCTACTGCCTTGCCTTTGTCTCTGCCGCTCAGAACATTGCCTGCTACACCTCTGTCGGACCTTCCATAGGCATTGCCCAGCTTTTTAGGGCCGGCACGCCTCCTTCTCCACTAGTCTGATTGAATGCATAGAACCCAATGGCGCCAATTATGGATTCCCCCATTTTTTTCCTCTGACATTGAGGATCTCTTCTCTGTCATCTTCCCAAGCCTCTCCCTCTCTTGATGGTTTATGTAGTGAGAATGGAAATGATTTTTCTGACTTCAAGGAGATGCCGTGGGGAAGAATAAGATATCTCAAGGGTTGAAGCCCTAAGTAAAGTGGGGGTCCAAGTCCATCGAAGACCCAAATACTAGATCTACAATTGATGCAACAGTCGTAGAGAGAAATTGTTTTGCAAACTGCAGATATGAGAAGCTAAAGCACTGTCGTGGGGAACAAGAAACCTCTTGAGGCTTGCTCATGCCCTCAACTCCCTCCTCTCGCAGGTGATCGGGGCTTAGGGCATAGGGGCAAATGATGAGCCCAAATCTAATTAGGCTAGGCCAAATAAATCTAACAAGCTCAAGTCAACAAAAAAGTAGGTCAAACCTAGTTTGCAATCCGACCTAACCCAAATTTCAAGGAGTCCAAGAAGAATTAGAGTACATGGGGAGCAATTATCGGGATACTTTCTCTCGACGATCAAGACAAACTTTTATGGAAATTACTTTTTGTACACACCTAGAGAATTAGTACCTTTGCCCTCAAGTCATTGTCTTAACCAAGACCCTGTGCCTATAAATTGTAAGTCCTCTCTATATGAGAGAACACATTGAGTTCTACCTCTACCCCTCTCTACACACACATAGCTTTTCTATCCCCTAACTATTGTAACTCTCCTAAAGCTAATCATTGCTCTCTCTCTCTTTCTCATTTACCTTCCTTCATCAATACGGACCCCTGGCCACCGTTGCCATTTTTCAGAGTGGAATAGGTCACATGGACTAAACCACTATATATTCGTGTGTTGACTCAATATTTATATTACTGCCATTAATTTGCTTTATTAATTGTCTATTAATTACACTCTGTCACACACTCAACTGTTGATCTTGCACGAGACTATTTTGTGCATCATCAAAACTAATATTTTTAAAATTTACAGACGTTATTTTATGTTTTCAAAATAAAAAGTTTGTTATGTTTTTAGTGATATTTAATTTAGTTTAGTTTTTTATTTTAACTTAAAAATAAATTATTAACCATGTTAAAATTAAGTTATGAATTAAAAAAATTTAATACATTGCATTACATTACCAAAAATGCAAAAAAAAAAACTATTTGTCTATACATGAATTTTATGACTGATTTTAAGAATTTTTTATATTTAAAAAATTTTTCTATTCCAAAATAATGTCATAAGTTCATCACACAATGAGATTTGACTAACAAAAGTGTATAAAACATGCAAATATGGAATGATACTTATACATTAAACAAAACAACGTTATTACATGAGACTATAGACATAGAGAGCTACCGAATACACATAAAAAAATTCGATGGAATAAAAGTGTCGGCTACATCATCACTTAAATCGACACAATAAAAAAATTTAGGATTGAAAACAAGTAATGGATCCTCTAAAATTTGAATCTTAGTATAGTCAGGATCGAAATGCTTAATTTTTGCATACTTAATTGCATGCAAACGAACAAGTCAACGTTGCATCTGATCATTTTCACATTCAAGCCCTGCTATGATCTCATCATGGTTGCTAGAGTTTTGTGGATCATATATATCAGCCGAACGTGCCTTCGGTACAATTTGTCCATGTCAACGACAATATACTTCAAGCTCACAATGTTTATCATATAACTATCATCATCTTGGTGTGCGTTTGATATGAACAATCGGAGGCAGATAGTCGGTCGCAAGCCTAATAATTATGTATCCAACTTGACTGAATGAAAGATAAGAGTCGATGGGCTCATTGCGGAACTCACGCTTGTCTATATCAAGTTACACCAGTGGAATCTATGTAGGATCCAATTGAATAAACTATGTTCGACGATGCTTGTCGACTAGTCGAGCGTTGACGTTCATTGGCTTTAGATGAACTATGTTTATTGCGTGATGAAGAACCTTGGGTGGTTTGACTGGATTGCCTATTTGATGTGTGTCTAGACATTTTTTTGATTATGATGTACACAATTAAAAAGGATGGTTTATATAGATATGGAATAAAATTATATATAAATTTGACAAGAAACTTACTGTGTACGACTAACATGACCTGACACTGATAAAAAAAATGATATGATTTCAAAGTGATAAAGTAATGATATGACTTCACAATGATAAAGAAATGACATAACAATTTAGTGACAAAGGACTGACTTGACACTACACTAATTACATTGATAAAGCTATCTCACAAATGTACAATGATTACCACTATTCAAGATATGACATGAAAAAAAAAATTGCACACTTACTACATTTGTTAATTTTCATTAGACATATAATCATCTGACAGGTATTGTGCATCAACTCTCATCCATATGTAGTTTCCACCATGTCTTTTGCTAGTTGGAGCGTGTAATAGCGACACCTACGCACTAGCATTCTATTATTCTCTTTTCGAACACATTTTACTATTGATTAATAATCCTCTCTATTCTGGCGTTGCATTGTTAGTGATTATCTATGAGGCACTGATATGCAAGTTGTTTTAGTTATGTGAATAGTTTGTTCGTTTCATTAGCACGAAAAGCCCACTCTCGTCTTACTCATACATAATACTCTTTTAGATCGAAAAATCTCTTAGTCTTGTAATCATCGTTTGATCTTGTAACAACCTACCCGTTCACATTGCAATTGTTAATCTTGTAGCGAAATTTGATGTAGACATAATTTTTAGTGTTTGTCATATCAACCACAATAAGGTATTTAAATAGTAGTGTCCAAACCCTAGTGTGTTGAACAGATCGCAATAGTCAATAGTATGTTGTCACTTCAGCTCGTGGTTTGTTGAAACCTATTCAGGGTTTAGTACTTCAGCACATGACATTAAGTAGTCACGAGCAGTCACTTTTTATTCTTTAGCCTTATCCAATGCCAATTAGTTGTAACTTCAGCACATGGTTTTTATTGAAATGCTCACCAGTTCACCCTCACACCTTATTGGCAACTGTGTGTATTCATTACAACACATAGTTCATCAACAATTACAGGGTTTTGTCATTTCATCAAAAAATTCATTGATTCAGTGGGTTGTCACTTCATAATTTGGTTTGTTAAATAGTCATGTAAGTGCAAATCCATCGAATATAGTTCAGTACATTGTCAATTCTTGGGTAATAGTAAAACAATCGATGTATGGTCAAGTCATGGGTAACAGGAAAACAATCACTGTATTGTCAAGTCATGATAGTCCTTTCTTAAGTGAATTGATATGTCTATCAAACCTTGATCCTTTAGGACAATGTATTCATTGTGTATAAGCAACTCATTGAATAAAACTCATTTCTAACCATGAATTATATTGTAAGAACATTAAATGAAATTATGTGCTATCATTGGGCATTAGAGGTTGAGTTCTTCTATCCACTGAATCCTCATTTACATTATTCAAGCAGGGCTATAAGCACTATGAGGGCCGAATTGCAATATTGTTTGACAGAGCGAGAAAATCTTAGTGGAGATATATGAACTTACAATATGCAAAGGTCTCGACAAATTGCCATCCATATGCCAGTTGAGACACCTCAACAATTGGAGCGAGCATTGTATCATTTTTGAGCTAAGAAGAATCACATGTCAATCCGTTTGAATTGTTACAACCTCTGTTGCATCGTACGAGACCATGCTAAAGCAGGGTTAATGGAAGAAACACATATAAGTTTCCTCTTAAGTGGAGATGTTGGATGTATTTATGATGTCGAGATGTCTGATGAAGATGTTGACCCATCAAACATGTTGTGTGGAGAAGTGTTATGATAGTGTTGTGTGGAGAAGTGTTATGTGAATGTTGTGTGGACAAGTGTTAGGTTAGTGTTGTGTAGACAAGTGTTAGATTAGTGTGTGTGAACAAGTGTTATATTAGTGTTTGTGTCGAGAAGTGTTATGTTAGTATTGTGTTGAGAAGTGTTATGTTAGTTTTGTTGTGTTCAGATCCTGTTATTATTGTGTTGAGTTTTAAATGTGAAGTGTTATGTAGTGTTAAGTTGAAGTTGAGTTTAATGTGTTGTGTACAATATTAATTGTGCATGTGACAACTTGATTAAAGACTGCAATAGAAATTCATAAAATCATTATAATCATGCATTTACAAAAGAAAGCTTTGTGTAGTTCCAAAAAACCTAAAAATACATCACAATCATGTCCCACATGGAGGTGGTCGCCTATGTCGCTTCGGTTGTCTCTGAACCTCATGCTTAGTATCCTATGCTGTAGCTTGTGTCCTGTGACACACCGACATCATTGCCATGATGTGTGTGACCTCGCCCTTGGGCCTGTCCCCGACCCTATCATCTGCCTAGAACTCGCTGTCCGGCTTTCACTTGACCTATACCTATAAGTGTAGCATCTTGTGTCAACCCCTCTTATGCTAAAAATGGATCTAGTAAAGGATGCTTGAAAGAAGGGGTAGGCTGGAATGTGTATGATGACCACATTGTTGCATGAAACGACATGGGTGCCATTGTAACTGGTATGGTACCACCTGTTGACACTGCTGGAGTAGTGGAAAAAGGAACATCCAAAGGTATAGAAGAATGTCACTATAAATGTAGGGGTTGATAAATGTGACATCCCATCTATAAAGTTCAACAAATTTATTAAGACATAATAATACTTAAAATATCTATTTAATATCTTATTGTTATTACACACCTACAACCAAGGGGGCCATCATGTACTACGTGCGCATCAACATCGTCATGTGCAACACCCACATCTACATCGGCTCCATCTCCTAATGCATCATCCCCATCAAGTGTAGGCGGAACATCCTCTTGGCCATGAAATCCAGCTGCACCATGGGCCATGCGCTGTCATGGCAGCACACGCTGTGGAACAATGTGTGATAGACGCT